GGGGGGCGGGAGGGCAAGCTCAGATGTACAGGAGCGCTCCCCTGCATCCCTCGTCCCCTCTTGTCCCCCTGTCCCGCAGGATGCTCTCCCCCTGCTCAGCATTCCAGTCCCACACCAGCCCCGCTCGCTCCCACTCCCTCCCCAGCACTGCGAGCAGGCATCCCCACCTCACTGGGGCTACTAGTGCTCCTTAGGAGGAGGAGGCAGAGCCCAGAGCCCCCCAGGGTGTCAGCTGCAGGGATGAAGCACTCGCTGGGCAGGGTTGATGCCCAGTGACCCTAAGGTGGATGGACACACTCAGCCCGCAGGTGGAGAAGCAGGGACCCCTGGAAACCTCACCCCATACATGCCAGACGGGCGGACACCCAGGACCCACGGCAGCCCCAGCAGCTGCCCCCTGCCCCTCCGACCCCTTCCCCGTGGCGCTTTCAGCCTCTCCCCACCTGGCGTGCCCCGGCTCAGCTGGGGTGCCCCATGGCGTGCACAGACCAGAGGTGCACCTGCGGCAACCCAGTCGCTCCCTCATCTCCACCCCCCGATGCAATGGGGGCACCGTCCCTCTAAGCCCCCCTGCCCCAGGCAGGGACCCTCTCCAGGGACTCTCCCCACTGCAAAACCAGGAGGCACGCCAGTGCCACGACACCTTCCTCTACCACCCCGGCATGCCAGGCCAACGGGGATGTTTCGGGTGCCAGGTCCAAGATGGGGCCAGAGCTGTGGCCATGGCAAGGAGGTGGCCAGGGGTGTGCACGTCGCAACACCCGCTCTGTACTGAGAAGCGTCCATTAAACAGCTGTGTCCAACTAGCCTCCGGCCGGCGCGCTTACGGGGCTTCTGGCTTCTCCCCAGGGATTTCGGGGGAACCCACGGCTGCCTGTTGTGTTCAACACCCTGCCCCGGCCTCGGGTCCCTGTCCAATCAGGCAGGCTTAGCCTTGTGCCCTCAGAATGTCCTCCAGCAGCGATGGGGGGAAGCCAGGGGGTGCACCCAGAACCCTGCAAACTCGGGGTGCCCCACATCTCACTAGGAGAGCAGACAGTGGGGAGAGTGCCCGGCTGGCCCCACAACCACCCCGGCCCCTGCAGTGGTCCCCGGACACCCATCCACTGGGATGAGGGTGCTTCTTGCCTGTGGAGGCACTGGAGGCTGCGAACAGAGCACTGGACACAGGGGACGGCTGGATGCTGGGAACAGGCTGTTTGCAGCAGGGCTGGGAAACCCAAAATAACCAAGGGTCCCCAGGAGGAGGTGATTGGAGAGTGGTGCCCATGGCTGGAGGCTCCTCCAGCGCTAGCCACATCCATCCACGGAGCTCCCAGGGAAAGCTGCGGCTCTTGCTGGTGGCACGTGGTCTGCGGGAACCAGGCTGCCGGCAAAGGGTGCTCGCCTGCCTGGGGGGTGCTCCTCGCACAGTGCCTGTGCTGCAGCTGGGAGGGGAACGGGGCTTGAGAAGTGGATCAGGGTGGGGGAATTAGGAGGGGTAAGCTGCCCTGGAAGCATCCTTAGAGTCTGCGGGGACACAGAGCTTGTTGCTAAAAGCTGGACTTGGATATTGCAGCCCATTTCCATGGCTGCCGTTGGGTCCAGACCACAGCGGTGGTGTCCAGCTCATCCGCTGGAGAAAGTCCAGCCTGGGGACCAGTGGGCGTTTCAGGCCCTGGAAGCCGGATTAGCTGTAAAAGCTCCCGGGAGAGGCACCCATCATCTCGAGGAAGAGGATGGGCACCCAGAGGAAGGAGGAGCTGGCGGGTTGTTTGTGTGCCTGAAGCTGGGATGCCATGGGTGGGTGATGCCCTGGGCTCTGCCCGTGGAGGCAAGCCCCAGGGAATCCATCACCTGGGGAGGTGGTGTTAATTGCTGTGTTACTGCTCCAGCTGCCGGAGCTGGGGAGCGAACCAGGGCAGAGCACAGCTCCTGGGGACCCTGAGGGTGAAGCACCTGCTGCCAGCACCCCAAACCCATGCTCTGAGCACCCCGCAGCATCCAAGCTGGGAGGACAGAACCTCCCCGGATCCTGATCCAGCCCCACTCTGCACCCACCCCTTCCCCTGGGGACAAGGCGCAGGTGGCTTTCCTGGCCCCAGCCTACCCATGCCCCTGCCAGGGCATGCAGCCGGCTGGTGTGCCCGGGGAGCTGGCTAACGAGGGCCGCAGGTGGCCAGGCTGGCCCTTGTCCCGCAGGGCTGTGCTGTCACCGCTGCAGCACCAGCTGCCCGGCACGCATGGTCTGCCGCAGCTGCAGGTCCCTGGCAAGCGCCCGCCGCAGGGCAGAGCGTGCCCCAGCCAGCTGCGTCCCTGCATGGGCAGCCTCAAGGTCTGGGCAGAAGCAGGAGGACGTGGTGAGGAAATGGGCAGGGTGCTGCCCTGGCATCTCTTAGCTGCCACCTGCTCCTCGGAGACTGGTGACCTCAGAGACCCCGTCCCCAGAAAGCCTCCCTGGCCTGCAAACCACCCTGCTAAATGCTGGTGCAAATCTATCCCTGAATGCTGGTGCAAACCTTCCCCTGCATGTTGACGCAAACCCCCTCACCGCCCAAATGCTGGTGCAAATCTCCCCTGGATGCTCGTGCAAACATCTCACCAAATGCTGATGCAAACCTCTCCCTGAATCCCTCTGAATGCCGGTGCAAACCTCCTCCCGACTGCTGGTGCAAACCTTTCCCTGAATGCTGGTGCAAACCTCCTACCAACTGCTGGTGCAAACCTCTCCCTAGCTGCTGGTGCAAACCTCCCCGGTGAAAGTCCCCGAGGCGCCAGCCCAAAGGATCGGGATGCTGCTGTGGGATTCAAGGCGGGGGCAGGAACCAGCTGTCGAGCCCACACCCGCCCAGACCTCTCCAGGAAGGAAATCCCGGGGTGTTAAATTCATTCTGCAGTGGTAGCGTCTGTGCAGCCCGCGTGTCCGTCGCCCCAGGTCTGTCACCCACGGCCGGGTGCCACGCAGTGGGTGCTGTGCTCCCCGTGGGGCTGCTCCCCAGTGGGGGGGTTCCCAGCCCCGGGGCTCCAGCCCAACGTCAACCCAGCCTGGGGCCCGGGGGCAGCGTCACGGGGTCCTGGGGGGCAGCTCCGGTTCCTGCGTCAGGTTTTGCAGCAGGCAGCGGTCAGAGCATCGGCCGCCCTTCACCCGGGGGGGTCCTGCCGTCTGCAAGGGACCCGGAGCACCTCGTGCTGCCCGCCCTGGCCGGCCCAGGGTGGCCCCGCTGGCCCAT